CCGCTGCCGCCGAGCAATTGTGCAACCCAAGACGTGACCCTTCACCTCTCCCACGTGTGGTTTTAGCAAAACGGGCCTGGGAACATCTATCCAGCCCACCGCAATACTCTTCAAGCTTTTCACCCAGGTTTCTTCCGAACTAAGATTATCTATGCAAAAAAATCTGAACATGAAGTTAGAGGACGCATATGAAAGTGTGTAGAAAAGTATAGAATGCTATGTCAAAGTTAATTGCTTCTTTACTATTTATTATATCATTCTTATGATGAGTGCTATAAAAATATATAAATATTTTTATATTTTTACAAATATATAAATATAAATTTCTCATGGTTAGTGGTAAAAACTATAAAAATTTAGGAATTCTGGATCTGTTTTCTATATTCAATTCATTCACATAAGTGTATGAATTATATATGTGAAATTATAATGAAATATATTCATATTTCAGGAAATATAAATCTATAAATTCATAAAGCCAATTAAAATGACCAGCAAACCAAATGACATATAGCAAATACTTTTTGGCTATATAATCAGAGCTAAAAAATTTTTAACTTAAAATTAGGAATATGTAAAACAAAAACAAAGGAAACAAATCGACCAAACTGATATTGTTTTGAGAAAATTCACATTGATCTGAATGCTTTTTGATAAATGGAACACAGACATTCATGTAAACGTGTTTTAATGGAAAACTATAAAAATGTGCTGTTTGCTTATTTCTTTTAACTCACTCTTTCTCTACTACACGGAAATAAAAGTTAGATTCTAGAAAGTCAATGAGTTTAAAAATGTCTAAAACATGAGTAAACAATCAGGGTGCTTCTTAGTCATGAGGAATTTCTTAAATTATTCTTTTTAAATATTAATTTCTTATACAGCACTTGAAAAAATTACTTTGCTGAAAACTAAAACTGGTGATTGCGGCTAATGAACTAATGCCGAAAAATATTACAAGGCAACGCTCTCTGCATACAGACATCTATGTGTGTGCACTCACATATCACATCGTCTCGATCAACAACGGACCACAGACCTGATGACATCCCATGAGATCACAGTGGAGCTGAACGACGCCTGTCACCTAGTGAAGTTGTGCCACCCTGACGTGACGGCCCAACACACTACACATGTTTGTGGTGGCAGTGGCCCAAACAAGCCTGATATGCTGCCAGTCGTATACATAGTGTACACAATCCCCACCTCAATACTCTTCAAGCTCTTCACCCAGGTTTCTTCTGCACTAAGATTTGCTATGCAAAAAATTTGAACGTGAAGTTAGAGGACGCATATGAAAGTGTGTGGGAAAGTATAGAATGCTATGTCAAAGCTAATTGCTTCTGTTACTATTTATTATATCGTTCTTATGAGTGCTATAAAAATATATAATTTTTTAATATTTTTATAAGACTTACACACAGAAAATTTTACACAACTATGTACAGTCCACAATACCCGGTCATGACCATAAATGGCTGCTGCTGGTTCATGTATTTACCATCCCATCTTTTATCATTAGAGCTTATAAAATGTTAACTGTCAAACAGCCGCAGGCAGGTCCTTGAGGAGGTACTCCAGATGGCGTTGTCATCACGAGCGATGACAGCGTCATGTGTGTCGTTGGCCCTGAAGACCTTCCAGGGGACGAGATGTGGACGTGGAAGACAGTGATGGCGATGAACCTGACCCTGTGTAGGCCGAGGCTCATGGGTGTGTTTCTGTCTTTGTTGTAACAAAAAAGTTTAAAATTTTTGAAAAAGAAAAACACTTACAGAGTAAGCATATTTGAAAAAAACACTTTTGATCAGCTAAATGATGTGTTTGAAGCGAAGTATTATAAAAGACTCAAAAAGTTAAAAAAATGTTAAACATTTATAAAATACGGTCAGGCAAGGTTAATTTATTATTGATGATGGAAAAAATACTTTTATAAGTGTAGTGTAGCCCAAGCGCACAGTGTTTATAAAGTCTACAGCAGTGCCCAGTGCTGTTCTCGGTCTTCAAGTCACATACTGTCATTCACTGACTCACCCAGAGCACCTTCCAGTCCTGCGAGCGCCATTCCTGCTCTGGACAGGTACACCACCTTTTTTTCTTTGATACCCCATTTTTACTGTACCTCTTCTATGTTAAGACAGTGTCAGACACACATATAATTCTCATTGTGCTACAAGTGCCCAAGCATTCAGTACAATCACACACAGTGCAAGTAAGTGTGTAGCCTAGGTGCAGATGGGTACATCACAGAGCCTCAGTGTGTGGTCGGCTGCACCATGTAGGTGTGTATGAGTGTACTCCATGGTGTCTGCACAACAAAATCAGCTAAGGCTGCATACATACGTGATAAATATATGCATACTGTGTACATATGATATCCTTTTAAGGAAATTGAAAGAGCATTGTAAGGGGCTAAAGACTGTGAGAATTCCTGGGTCTATAAAATAGAGAATAAGACACAATGACCCCTATCAAACTAGTCATGCATTT